CCCCCGTGTTGGATAACATTCAATACATGTAATGCAGGGCACAATTATGCAGGCAATCAGAACACAATAATTATAGACATGTTAATCATATTATATGAGATTTAAACAGGTTAGTTATGAACGTTTTAAATGTTAACTTGCTTTGGTTCTAAACAATGACAGTAACAGCAACATATCAGAGCATGCCAAGTAATCTAACTAATAGTCCTAATTTGGTTGCAGAAAATCCAAATAGCAACATACACAAAAATAATGAAGCTTTAGTTTGTAGTCAAAACGTGCAATAAAAATAAACAACACACATCGTCAACAGGGACGCTCACGATAATTGGTTTTTTCCCCATCTATCTGGCAACAAAACTGACACCTTTTTACAAGGAGTCATGTTTGCATAGACCGCAATACCTGCAGTCATAATACAAACAAAAGAACATAACTCTGATAATGTGCACTGTCCTTGAAGTTGATTGGTCCACACCCGAGACAGCTTTCCGTAGAGCCTAGTCTCACATGGGTTGGACCTGATGACGCCAAAAGGCGCACTGTAAAAAGGTGTCAGTTTTGTTGCCAGATAGAAGGGTAAAAAACAATTATCATATTTTTACTGGCAAATGAGGTTCCCATAGGGACGCTCACCTCGTTGACGATTCGCTCTGCAAAGGCTTCTGCTGCTGCTCACTCGTGCGCATTCCTCTCGACTGCGGGGTGGAGGCGTGGCTATGACGTAACAGAGGTGACGTCACTACAGCGAGGCTCCGCCCCCACGCGCTTGGCGGGCGCACCACGTGGTGCAGTGCGGGTGGTGTGCGTCACCGGAAACAGCAGAGCCCTCGGTTCGACATTAAACATTTGCCCCCTCGCTTTGTGCCGTCTTTGATGTCGCCGTTACTGCGGCGAGGACTGAAGCAATGCCTGGCCATCAGGCCTGGCATATACCTAGGCCTCAGGCTTCATATTTGTTCGTAGTTATTTTTTGTTTAATTGGAATTATTAACTTGCATTTCATTAATTACATTTCAAGCGTATAAACACCATCCCATTGGTTTATTTACTTTTAAATTCAGGTTTGTATTCTAGTTATTGATCTGTAGTTTTATTTAAGTGAGTGAGGTGGTTGTACTAAGTGTGAGTTTGAGTTCCATGTAAATTATTATTGTGTAAAGGATTTGTCTGTGTGCACCTATCCTGGCAGTGGTAATTTGGGCTTTTTATAATTTAGTTGTTAATGAGATTGTTTATTTGTGTGTGTCTGTTATCTATGTCTGTGTCAGGTTACATATCTATGTTTGGAGCTGTTTGTGTTTGTTTATTTTTGATGGGTGGTGATGATGATGATGTATCTTGATAATGGATGGTGGTGATGATGATGATGGGTGGTGATTATGAAGGGTGGTAATGATGATGGTTGGTGATGTTAATGTGTAGTGATTATGATGGGTGGTAGTGGTGATCATGGGTGGTGGTAATGATTGGTGAGGTTATGATGATGGGTGGTGATGGTTATGGGTGGTGATGATGATGGGTTGTTGTGATTATGGGTGTTGATGATGATGGATGGTTATGATAACTGTTGGATTGTGATGGTTGGGTGGTGGTGGTGGCGATGGTTGATAGTGATAATGAAGTAACTAAAGCAGCACCAATAACAGCAGCAACAACAGCAGCAGCAACACGTTTTGAGGGCGACGCAACTACTTCTGATTCTGCTGTTTCTGCTGCTCGACTATTTGTAGCCAGGACCTGCTCTCACGGGACCCCACACGTCTTTGGAAATGATTGCGATCATGTCTGAGCTGAGAATTAAGTGACTAAACGTTACTTTGTTTAACCATAACAGTGTGTAGGTTAGTATCTGGGGGCTCAGCGAATACTATTCATGAAAGAACTCGCACTCCTTTATGACCGACATTCTACTAATTTTGGTTGATCGAGACGAACAAGGCACGTGCCATGTCCAGACGAACTTTTATTTCCAATATTGTCCTTAAATTTGATGCTAAAATAAACGTTAACACTGGATTAAACATGCACCTCTTAACCCCTGCCTCGCATTTACGACTAACAATTTGCATTTACACGTAACATACAGTCAAGCACAGTAAAATGCTAATACGACAATATTGTTATTCTAGGAATTTGAATTCGATTCTAACCCTGCACCCCCCACAGTTCGCATATCCAACCCCCGGTTCGACGGAACGTTCGCTTTAGATGCATATAAGCAGTGTGGTTATAATACTTCTAATTAGATTTGAATACCGTACCTCCGTTTATGGTGTAATGAATTAGAAAACCAGTATATAGTCATTTAATGTTGAGTGATATCGTTTATAATGATACAGCTGAAGTCATAGAGGTGAAATGGCTGCAGTGTGTACGAATGTAGATAGGGCGTCGCCGTTGGTTCGTCCAATCATCGCGCATCAAGACTTATGTCTGTCCCCACCCAGACAGCTTTGATGGGATAACAAACTTTGATCAAATACTTTTATCAAACGAGTCATTACAATTGTAACGATTCATAATTGCAGGGGATTATGTTGGGTTTGTGCGATTATTTTATATAGTCATACTGAATATTGCTATTTGATGCCATTGAGATGGAACATTCATCCAGCAGTGGATAGCTTGATCCTAATACCACCAAAGCGTGATCCTGCACCTTCCGTTTCACATATCCCACCCTTGGTTCGCACGTCCATATTACATACATACATGTTACATAATACATATTACATACATATATTCATGCATATTACATACAGACATGTTACATACTCACGAGCATAGTGTGATTCTTAGAGGACCACGGTGTGAAGTTAAGAATTCGAATGAGATTCGAATATCACACTTCAATGTACGGTGTTCTAATCTGTAACACTAGTTTATGATGTAATTTTATAGCGTTATAATGTATCGCACATAGCTTATATTGTTAGAGTTCACAACATTATAGTTTACTATAACACTAGTTTGTAGTGTTATTTTAGAACGTCGCAATGTATAGCTCATAGTTTTAAGGTTATATTGTTAGAGTTTATAATGTTAGAGTATACAATGTGAGTTTACAATTTGAGAGTTTGTGGACGTGCCCTGTTCTCGTGGACACGGATTTGGAAATGATTGCTATGATCATGTCTGAGCTGGGATGAGCGACTAATGTTTACTTTGTTTAATCATAACTGTGTGTAGGTTAGTGCCATCGGTGCTTAGTGAATACTACTCATGAATGAACTCATACTTCTTTCGGATAGAAATTTAAATCATGTTGGTAGAACAAGTCGCCTGTCTTTTCTAGACTAATTGTTATCTTCAAGTGCGTCAGTAAATATACTGCTAAAATACACAGCATAGGGAAGGCTGCCTGGTTCGGGAGATGTAGTTTGGCTAAGGCGCTGTGGCCAGGTGATGACACGGATTCTGAAACAGTGGAGTTAAACACTCGCTGCTTGGCCCCGTCGACAGCAGCGAAGGCTGTCATATACCGCCCCATTTACGAGTTGGCTGTATAATGTGTATGGTTGAAGGTGCTAGGTGTTGTCTTCTTCTAACAGCTACTAACGTGTGTGTATTGACTGTTTTTTGGATTTGTCCATTGATGTTTTTCTTTTTAATGCGGCCTTTTTTTGTTGAATTTTGTCACTTGAGTGTTGCAGTTTGTTTAAGAATTCGTCACGTGAGCGTGGTGTTTTGCATGTTGGAATTTCGCTGTCACAATTTGTGATTGTTTTAATAATTGTCACCATTCATAATCTGATGAGTTTATAATGGGTTTGTGCGTGTATTTATATAAATATATTCCGTCTTTTGTTATTTGATGACATCTAGCAGTGAAAATCGTGATTGTAATATGACCATGTTGTAATTGTAATAATTTTTATCCGATCCTTGCACGTACACTATACATACATATTAGCGATTCGTTTACAGCCACACTGTGATTCTAATGCTTCTAATGATATTATAATACCTTACATCCGTTTATATGGTTATGAATTATTACACTAGTTTATTATCGTTTAATGTTTAGTGTTATCGTTTATAGTATTACAGTTTACATGTTATAAAGTACAGTTTATCCCCGACATACTTCGGGATTAGGGACTGGTACGTTGATGAACGATTAACTACGAGGACCTTTCCCCTCAAGGAACACGTGTTAATCGGGTAGACAGCCAAGATGCTGCCGGTTAAGGGCACACTTGTGTGACGGAGATCCTCCACCTGAAATTCTCTTAACATTATAAAATAAAGACCGGACAAACATTTGTTAAAAATACGTTTTTATTCATCTGCAATCATTTTTACGTCAAAACTCGAAGGGAATATTTATTATGTCCTATGTTCACACATTTCCAGTACAATGCAAACCATTACCAAAGCGTTAAAGTGTCATTCCCCATGATTTCCTTATTAGTTCACCACATTTGTTCACTGTGCGTCTATGTTGTAGTCAAGGCCATATATCCAACGAACTTGTCATTAATGTACATCCTGAAATCGGCTATCTAAAGTCGATTAATACCAATAAAAACAGCTATATGCTCAAAAAAAAACCGTTTAAAATGTTGAGTAAAGATGTACCTACAGACGCATTCCAACTTTAGCTCAACAGGAACACTTAACGACTACAATTTAACCCTCTCACAACCAGTCCTCATCACACCACTTCGGCAAGTCATCCGATAACATTACAAACCACCACTGGGCACGTCATTAAACTCTCACAAAAACTGTAAAACTAAAATGGTCAAAATTACACACAAAAGTACTCGATACGGCTTAATATGACATAATATTTTTTCAGTCACCCCGAGCTCTCTGGTTGACTCTCGAGCCACTCCATTACATCCAGCCATCTCTCGGGATCCAACTGCATGGGATCGAAGGTGGAAACTTCTTCAGGAATCATTGCAGCACCTTGAATTTCAGCTTTTGATTTCAGTTTCCTATCATTGTGGACCTTTTGATGCCCGTTCCTGGTTGATGAGTGTGCAAATTTCTTCCCACACACAGAGCACAGGAATGGCTTCTCGCCCGTGTGTGTTCTCTGATGACTATGAAGAGTTGATGAGTCTGCAAATGCCTTCCCACACACAGGGCACAGGAATGGCTTCTCGCCCGTGTGTGTTCTCTGATGACTATGAAGATTTGATGACTTTGCAAATGTCTTCCCACACACAGGGCACAGGAATGGCTTCTCGCCCGTGTGTGTTCTCTGATGACTATTAAGAGTTGATGAGTCTGCAAATGCCTTCCCACACACAGGGCACAGGAATGGCTTCTCGCCCGTGTGTGTTCTCTGATGACTATGAAGAGTTGATGAGTCTGCAAATGCCTTCCCACACACAGGGCACAGGAATGGCTTCTCGCCCGTGTGTGTTCTCTGATGACTATGAAGATTTGATGACTTTGCAAATGTCTTCCCACACACAGGGCACAGGAATGGCTTCTCGCCCGTGTGTGTTCTCTGATGACTATGAAGATTTGATGACTTTGCAAATGTCATCCCACACACAGGGCACAGGAATGGCTTCTCGCCCGTGTGCATTCTCTGATGAGTTTGAAGAGTTGATGACCGTGCAAATGCCTTCCCACACACAGGGCACAGGAATGGCTTCTCGCCCGTGTGCGTTCTCTGATGAGTTTGAAGAGTTGTCGATTGTGCAAATGTCTTCCCGCACACAGGGCACAGGAATGGCTTCTCGCCCGTGTGTGTTCTCTGATGACTCTGAAGATGTGATGCCTGTGCAAATGTCTTCCCACACACAGGGCACAGGAATGGCTTCTCGCCCGTGTGTGTTCTCTGATGACTCTGAAGATGTGATGAGTGTGCAAATGTTTTCCCACACACAGAGCACAGGAATGGCTGCTCATCCGTGTGTGTTCTCTGGTGTCTCTTAAGACTTGATGACCATGAAAATGCCTTCCCACACACAGAGCAATTGAATTGTTCCTTGCCCCCGTGTGCGTGGGGCTGTGGAGAGCGTCTCTGCTCCATGTGAGCGTAGTAACAGTAGTGGTGTTATTGAGTCAAAAGTACGCTATCGGCCGCAAGGATGTTTAGCGTTGAGTTTCAGATTTTGTTAACTGCTAAAACAAGAACGACACTCTAACCGAGACGCAAAAAAATCCCGCTAATTTGACGACGAAAACGTTTAAGAGTTTATCCCCGAAAATAGACACTTACTTGGAGATTCACGGTATATCGATGTCTGGAACCCGTCTGAAGATGTCGCCACGAACTCTCCCGACGCAAAGTCGCCTAACTGTCGACACAGCAATTGTGCTCGCCAGGCTGCGTTGTCTCGCGGTTGAAGGGCGAACAGCAGAGCGACGAGTCGAGCGTCCAACCTCATCAAGTTCCCTCTCGAAATGGCATTGAGCTCTGCTTCTGAGCCGCCTTATAACTCCCCCCCTCGGATCCAATCCTTTGTCTTTCAGGATTTTTGCATTCGATTGTTAATTTTGGAAGGTACAATCCGCATATCTATTAACATACCGAAGAGTAATGTGTCCATTGTACTTCATGCATGAATATGTAAGTGCATCTCAGTGTGTAATTGTGCGCTTATTTTGAATAAATGGAAAAACGTTGTCCTCGATTTAAAGTGAATGCAGAGAAATTAGCATGTAACTTTAGAAAAGGAAGAGAGCGGCCTTCTCGACGAGGGAGTGAAACCCAATAGGTAATATTATTTTACAGCGTTACAATGGATAGGTTGTAGTTCATAGGTTATACTATTATGTTTCACTATGATAGAGCTTAACATGTGAGAGTATACAATATCAGAGTTGATCAAATGCGAGCAGGCTACCTTGAGAGCGATCGCGAATGGGTTGCGTGTCTAGAAGAAGCCTCGCTCTTTCAGATGCCGTACCAGCTTCGTCAACTCTTCGCTACGATTCTGCTGTATTCCATGCCAGCAGATACGAAGGATCTCTGGGATAAATTCTACGACGAATTGGCCCGCGATTACGAGTACCAGTACCGCGAGCTGACCAACAAAGAACAAATGGTAAAGTTCAAGACCCTTCACAGCCTCCACGAGTTCATCACGGCAGGTGGGATGGCTCTGTCGGACTTTGACGACCTCCCGCAGCTTTCCGAGTACCCACACTTGGTCTTGGACTCGCAGCTTGCGAAGATCCATATCCGCCGCGAATTGGAAGGATATGATAGAAACGAACACAAATTTGTAATATAGATACAATACACATTTTTTAAAAACGTATTTACAAATATATATTCCACTTTTTTAAACTCTGAATGTCGTCGTTCATGTGGGGACATGGAGCACAGTGGATCGTATCGTCGAAGCTGCTTTTCGGAATCCGTGTGATAACCCAGTCACATCGCCTAACTCCAGTGACAGCACCTTACCCAAGCTACATCTCCCCAACAAGGCAGCCTTACCGATGCTGTGTATTGTGTTTCGGGATAACAGAGGTGTGTATTATCCCATGCGCCTTGCCCAAAAAGACTGATTGTCCGCTTAACAGCCTAGCCTGTAAACCACAATTGGTGATAGTGTTGTTTGAGAGCAGCTATTAAAGTCGTTTTGGCAAACGAGGTGGTGGCTGGCTAAACCATGCCTCGCTGTTTGTCTCCGGAGTTATGACGGATACAAACCAGACCAAGCGGAGACCATGTACCAGATCGGATTTTGGTTACTGATGTTAGAGTGATTGTATTGCAAGTGTAGTCACTACGCGTCTGTATGTGCTCACACACGAAGCTCGGCGATTTTTGGCAACGCCACGGGGCTGCATTCACTTTAAATCGAGGAAAATGGAGGGCATGGGGAACGCGCATAATTACACACCGAGATGCACTTACATATTCATGCATAAAGCACAATGGGCACATTACCCTTCGGTATGTTAATATACATGCGGATTGTGCCTTCATAAATTAACAATCCAATGCAAATATCCTGAAAGACAAAGGATTTGATCCTAGGGGGGGAGTTATAAGGCGGCTCAGAAGCAGAGCTCAATGCCATTTCGAGAGGGAACTTGATGAGGTTGGACGCTCGACTCGTCGCTCTGCTGATCGCCCTTCAACCGCGAGACAACGCAGCCTGGCGAGCACAATTGCTGTGTCGACAGTTAGGCGACTTTGCGTCGTGAGAGTTCGTGGCGACATCTTCAGACGGGTTCAAGACATCGATATACCGTGAATCTCCAAGTAAGTGTCTATTTTCGCGGAACGTGTTCGTCGTCAAATTAGCGGGATTTTTTGCGTCTCGGTTAGACGCGAGTGTCGTTCTTGTTTTAGCAGTTAACAAAATCTAAAACTCAACGCTAAACATCCTTGCGGCCGATAGCGTACTTTGGACTCGATAACACCACTACTGTTACTACGCTCACATGGAGCAGAGACGCTCTCCACAGCCCCACGCACACGGAGGCAAGAAGCCATTGAATTGCTCTGTGTGTGGGAAGTACTTTTCATGGCCATCACATCTTCAGAGACACCAGAGAACACACACGGGCGAGAAGCCATTCATATGCTCTGTGTGTGGAAAGGCATTTGCACAGTCATCAAATCTTCAAACTCATCAGAAAACACACACGGGCGAGAAGCCATTCCTGTGCCCTGTGTGTGGGAAGGCATTTTCACAGTCATCATCCATGAACAGGCATCAGAAGGTCCACAATGATAGGAAGCTGAAATCAAAAGGTGAAATTCAAGGTGCTGAAATAAGTCCTGAAGATAATTCCACCTTCGATCCCATGCAGTTGGATCCCGAGAGATGGCTGGATGTAATGGAGTGGCTCGAGGATCAACCCGAGAGCTCGGGGTGACTGAAATATAATGTTGCATGCAGTTTTACCTATTCAGCTGTCTTGAGTACTTTTGTGTGTAATTCTGACCCTCTAGTTTTACAGTTCGTTTGAGAGTTTCTTGACGTGCAGGTGGTGATTTTTGATGTTGTCGGATTACTTGGTGAAGTGGTGTGATGAGCAGTGGTTGTGATATGGTTCAATTCCGGACAATATTGTAGTGTTTAAGTCTTCCTGTTGAGCTAAAGTTGGAATGCATCTGTAGTTAGATCTTTACTCAACATTTTAAACGTTTTTTTCAAGTTTAAAGCTTTTTTTGGATGGTAATAATCGACTTTAGGATGTACGTTGATGACGCGTTCGTTGGATATATGGCCTTGACTTCAACATAGACGCACAGTGAACAAATGTGGTGAACTAATAAGGAAATCATGGGGAATGATACTTTAACGCGTTGGTATTCCTGGAACGGATATGGTTTACATTGTATTGTAACTGTTTGAACATAGGACATAATACATTCGGTTCGAGTTTTGACTTGATTGCAGATGAATAAAAATGTTTTTTTTTACAAATGTGTGTCCGTTCATTTATTCATATCAACAACGTGTTTTAAGCGAGTTTCAGGCGGAGGATCTTCGTAACACAAATCTGCCCTTAACCGGCAGTCGCCCCATTAACATGTGTTCCTGGAGGGGAAAGGGCCCCATTATTAATCGATTCACAACGTTACGGTCCCTAATCATCAAGTATACAGGGAATCCTGTACGCTAAGACATGTGAACTGTAACACTATAAACGATAACACGAAACATTAAACTACTATACACTAGTTTCATCATTTATAACACCAAAAACAGAGGTACGGTATTATAATCTCATTACAAGCAGTAGAATTTCAACGTGATCGTATTAAAATCTAATTCTGCGCATATGTATGTATAGTGTACGTGCAAGCGAACTGTGCTCGTATGTACGAATGTAATATGCATCTATGGCCTTTGGACATGCGAACCGGTGGTCGAATATGCGAATTGGGGGGTGCAGGATTATGATCGGATTAAAACAATTAGAATATCACTTTGGTAGTATTAGAATTACACTGAGCTAGAATGTATGTTAAATGTAGATGCACATCGGGAGTCGTAAATGCGGCCTGGGTGGTGCCAGATTTAGAATCGCATCAAAATTATTAAAACCGCACCATGGTCGTATTAGAATCAAGCTGCCCACTGCTGGTAGAATGTTACATCGCAATGGCACCGAATAGCAATATACAGCATTGATAATGGGCGTGGAGCTTACAAGCGCAACCTTGCACATTTTCACCTGGTTCTCGACGCCAGTCCCGCGCCCATGGTAGAATCTTGTGCATGTCGGGGCGTCAAGGGCTCGCACCACAGCCTTGAAGGATTAGGCAGGTCCCTGGCTTCTTTTGAAGAATTTGACCAGGCTCCAGGCACCGGTTCCTCGCACGTGGCGGATCCTTGAGGCACCCCGGGCCTCAAGCTATACATTATAACGCTATACAATAACATTATTAACTAGTGTTATAGATTAGAACAACCTACATTGAAGTGTGATATTCTAATCGCATTCGAATTATTCGAATCACTCCGTAATCCTCTTCGAATCACAGTCGTAAGTATGTAACATGTATGTATGTAATATGTCTGTTTGAAGTATATGTGCATGTAACATATATATATGCAACATGTATGTATGTAATATTGGGTTTGTGTGATTATTTTATATATACATACTGAATATTGCTATTTGATGCCATTGAGATTAACATTCATCCAGCAGTGGACAGCTTGATCTTAATACCACCAAAGTGTTATACAAATAATTGTAATCCCATCCTGATCCTGCACGTTCCGTTTCACATATCCCACCATTGGTTCGCACGTCCATATTACATACATGCATACATGTTACATGCATACATGTTACATCCATACATGTTACATGCAAACATGTAACATGCATAAATGTTACATGCATACACACTACATACAGACATACTACATACAGACATGTTACATGCACATATACTTACTACAAACAGACATATAAAATGCACATATACTTACTACATACAGACATGTTACATGCATGAATGTTACATACTTACGACCGTAGTGTGATTCGAAGAGGACCACGGAGTGATTCGAATAATTTGAATGCGATTCGAATATCACACTTCAATGTAGGTTGTTCTAATCGAATTACAATTATTCGAATCCCACTATAGTCGTATTAGAATCACACTGTCCACTGTTGGATGAATGTGTGGTAAAGAGTATAACAATCACACATTATAACATATATACAATACACATGATTTCAAAAACGTATTTAAACATTTCTATTCATTTTTTAAAACTGAGAATGTCGTTGTCCATGTGTGGAGACGGAGCTCGGTGGAATGTATCATCTCCGCTGTGTTTCGGAATCCGTGTGGTGATCACCCAGTCACATCGCCTAACTCCAGTCACAGCGCCTTACCCTTTAAAATAACACTACAAACTAGTGTTATAGTAAACTAAAATGTTGTGAACTCTAGCAATATAAGCTATGAGCGATACATTATAACGCTATAAAATAACATCATAAACTATTGTTACAGATTAGAACACCGTACATTGAAGTGTGATATTCGAATCTCATTCGAATTCTTAGCTTCACACCGTGGTCCTGTCTTTGCCGCTGGCCCCCGAGGTCTCTCCCTGCTGGGCGCCGACTGCAGGGGGGGGTCCCGCCGTTCCCCGACCCCTCGCTGGTCTGCGAACAGCTGCTGCCGCCGCTGGGCTCATCGCTCGCGGGGTAAGGACTGTCGCCCGACGGTTCCCCTCCCTGGTTCGCACCTCCGCGAGTTCGCGAGAGGGACATGGCTCGTCGCCGGCTCCCGTACGCCTGTAAACGCATCGTTGCCTCTCCGCCAATCAAATGCGACGCCTCCCCTCACACAGCCCCGCGCAGCGATCACACGCTCTGAACGGGGCTCGGAGGGCGAATGACTTTGAACGCACACGCGCGACCGCCGCGAGCGGGTGATCACGTTCGTTTAAAGGGACCGCGGAACGGGTGTTTACGGTGGGTGTGAGCCCTCACAGCGCACAAGTCTCCACGGCGACAGGCGGAGCGGGCACCCGTGTTCTCTAACACACGTAAACTGTGACACTTTAAAGATGAAATATGAAACGACTATAAACTAGTTTTTTATGTAATTTATAATACCGTAAACGGAGGGACAGTATTAGGATATCTATACTCTTTGGTGCTTTCGGCAAAGTCACGTAGGAAGAAATAAAACAAAATAAATCACGACGTTTCGGACGCAACACAAGCGCCCGAAACGATGTCTGCAGCAGACATCGTGCTGCTCGCAGCAGACATCGCGGACATCGCGATTTTCACCTGAAGACGGGCGCTTGTGTTTCGTCCGAAACGTGATTTACCTTGTTTCATTTCTACCTACGTGACTTTACCGAAAGAACCAACGAGTATTAATTCCTGCAGTCACGAAAGCTTCAAATCAATATTAGAATATCATTAGAAGTATTATAATCACAATGTGATCGTAATAGAATCTGCACATATGTATGCATATTACATACATACTATGGTCGTATGTATGTAATATGTATGTCCGTTGGACATGCGAACCGGGGGTCGGATATGCGAACTGGGGGATTAGGATCGGATTAAAATTATTACAATAACACTATTGTGGTATTAGAATTACACTGAGCTAGAATGTACGTTATATGTAGATGCACATCGGGAGTCGTAAATGCAACCTGGGAGGTGCGCGGTTTAGAATCGCATTAAAATTATTATAATAACAACGTGGTCCTATTATAATCACGCTATCGACTGCTGCTGATGTTCGGGTGGCGGCTTCCGATTCGGGCTCTGCTCTTCCTTTACTCGCCTGGTTGGTGCCGCGGGACGCAGCGTCTCATCCGACAGGCGTTGCAGCAGCTGGGTGATGGCATCCGTGAGTTTGTCAACTTTCTCTTCAAGTTGAGGCCGTTTCCCTCGTGGTCTCCTGCCTCTGCGCGTGCTGTGGGTTGCTCATGGCCGAGGTGGAACTGCATTTTGAATCGGGTGTAGACGTTATTTTAGCAACATTTAAGTACAGTGTTGTGTTTAGAATGCGTCTAGACAAGGAAGGTGACTTGTCCTACACGGGCAGCCAAAATGATTACAAATTATGTCATTAAACAATGTGAGTTCATTCATGAGTAGTATTCGCTGAGCCATGATGACACTAACCTACGTACAGTTATGGTTAAACAAAGTGATATTTAGTCACTTAATTCTCAGTTCAGACATGATCATCGCAATCATTTCCAAAGACGTGTGCGGTCCCGCGAGAGCAGTGCCCGGCTACAAATAGCCGGGCAGCAGAAGCAGCAGAATCAGAAGTAGCAGCGTCGCCCTCGAAATGTGATGTTGCTGCTGTTGTTGTCGCTGCTGTTGTTTCTGCTGTAGTTGCTTCTGTTGCTGTAATAAACGCAGGGAGGTGGTGTTCCGTGATGGGATGACGCCTTTGATTAAAGCCTCTGATCAAACTCACCCGATTGACGCCCTTGATCGTCGCATTTGATCAACTCTGATATTGTAGACTCTCACATGTTAAGCTCTATCATAGTGAAACATAATATTATAACCTATGAACTACAACCTATCCATTGTAACGCTGTAAAAGAATATTACCTATTGGGTTTCACTCCCTCGTCGAGAAGGCCGCTCTCTTCCTTTTCTAAAGTTACATGCTAATTTCTCTGCATTCACTTTAAATCGAGGACAAAGTTTTTCCATTTATTCAAAATAAGCGCACAATTACAAACTGAGATGCACTTACATATTCATGCATGAAGCACAATGGGCACAATAACCGTCGGTATGTTAATAGACATGCGGATTGTACCTTCCAAAATTAGCAATCGAATGCAAATATCCTGAAAGACAAAAGATTGGATCCTAGGGGGCGAGTTATAAGGCGGCTCAGAAGCAGAGCTCAATGCCATTTCGAAAGGGAACTTGATGAGGTTGGACGCTCGACTCGTCGCTCTGCTGATCGCCCTTCTACCGCGAGACAACGCAGCCTGGCGAGCACAATTGCTGTGTCGACAGTTAGGCGACTTTGCATCGGGAGAGTTCGTGGCGACATCTTCAGACGGGTTCAAGACATCGATCTACCGTGAATCTCCAAGTAAGTGTCTATTTTCGCGGATAAACTCTTAAACGTGTTCGTCGTCAAATTTATGGGATTTTTTTTGCGTCTCGGTTAGACGCGAGTGTCGTTCTTGTTTTAGCAGTTAACAAAATCCAAAACTCAACGCTAAACATCCTTGCGGCCGATAGCGTACTTTTGACTCGATAACACCGCTGCTGTTACTACGCTCACATGGAGCAGAGACGCTCTCCACACCCCCACGCACACGGAGACAAGAAGCCATTCAATTGCTCTGTGTGTGGGAAGTCATTTTCATGGCCATCAGATCTTCAGAGACACCAGAGAACACACACGGGCAAGAAGCCGTTCCTGTGCCCTGTGTGTGGGAAGGCATTTGCACAATCGTCAACTCTTCAAACTCATCAGAGAACGCACACGGGCGAGAAGCCATTCCTGTGCCCTGTGTGTGGGAAGGCATTTGCACGGTCATCAACTCTTCAAACTCATCAGAGAACGCACACGGGCGAGAAGCCATTCCTGTGCCCTGTGTGTGGGAAGGCATTTGCACAATCATCAACTCTTCAAAACCATCAGAGAACACACACGGGCGAGAAGCCATTCCTGTGCCCTGTGTGTGGGAAGGCATTTTCACAGTCGTCAAATCTTAGCACGCATCAGAAGGTCCACAATTATTGGAAACTGAAATCAAAAGCTGAAGTTCAAGGTGCTGCATTGAGTCCTGAAGAATTTTCCACCCTCGATCCCATGCAGTTGGATCCCGAGAGATGGCTGGATGTAATGGAGTGGCTCGACGATCAAACCGAGAGTCAGGGATGACTTACAGTTTTTGTGAGAGTTTAATGACGTGCACAATGGTGGTTTGTAATGTTATCGGATTACTTGCCGAAGTGGCGTGATGAGCAGTGGTTGTGATATGATTCAATTCCGGACAATATTGTAGTGTTTAAGTCTTCCTGTTGAGCTAAAGTTGGAATGCATCTTTAGTTAGATCTTTTCTCAACATTTTAAACGGGTTTTTACAAGCATATAGCTTTTATTGGTTTGTATTAATCGACTTTAGATAGCCGATTTCAGGATGTACATTGATGACGCGTTCGTTGTATATATGGCCTTGACTTCAACATAGACGCACAGTGAACAAATGTGGTGAACTAATAAGGAAATTCGAGTTTTGACTTAAAAATGGTTGCAGATGAATAAAAAAGTTTTTTTTAACAAATGTGTGTCCGTTAATTTATTCATATCAACAACGTGTTTTAAGCGAGTTTCAGGTGGAGGATCTTCGTCACACAAATCTGCCCTTAACCGGCAGTCTCCCCATTAACATGTGTCCCTGGAGGGGAAAGGGCCCCATTATTTATCGATTCACAACGTTACGGTCCCTAATCATCAAGTATACAGGGAATCCTGTACGCTATGACATGTGAACTGTAACACTATAAACGATAACACGAAACATTAAACTACTACAAACTAGTTTCATCATTTATAACACCAAAAACAGAGGTACGGTATCATAATCTCATTACAAGCAGTAGAATTTCAACGTCATCGTATTAAAATCACATTCTGCGCATATGTATGTATAGCGTACGTGCAAGCGAACTGTGCTCGTATGCATGTAATATGCATCTATGGCCTTTGGACATGCGAACCGGTGGTCGGATATGCGAACGGGGGGTGCAGGATTATGATCGGATTAAAATGATTAGAATATCACGATGGTAGTATTAGAATTACACTGAGCTAGAATGTATGTTAAATGTAGATGCACATCGGGAGTCGTTAATGCGGCCTGGGTGGTGCCAGATTTAGAATCGCATCAAAATTATTAAAATCGCACCATGGTCGTATTAGAATCAAGCTGCCCACTGCTGGTAGAATTCTACATCGCAATGGCACCGAATAGAACTATACAGTATTGATATTTTGCGTGGAGCCTACAAGCGCAACCTGGCGCATTTTGACCTGGTTCTCGACGCCCGTCCCGCGCCCATGGTAGAATCTTGTGCATGTCGGGGCGTCAAGGGTTCGCACCGCAGCCTTGAAGGATTAGGCAGGTCCTTGGCTTCTTTTGAAGAATTTGACCAGGCTCCAGGCACCGGTTCCTCGCAGGATCTTCTCAATTATTTCCATGAACGTGTGGGGTCCCACGAGAGCAGGGCCGGCCACAAACATTCGGGCAGCAGTTTGAGCAGAAGCAGAAGTCGCTGCTTTGCCATCGAACGGTTTCGTAGCTGCTGTAGTTGCTTCTGTTACTGTTATATAGGCAGCATGTTGATGTCCGGTGATGGGATAACGCCTTTGATGAAAAACTCTGATCCAACAAGTCACCTTCCTTGTCGAGACGCATTCTAAACACAATACTGTCCTTTAATATATTGCTAAAATAACGTCTACACCCGATTCAACATGCAGTTCCACCTCGGCCATGAGCAACCCACAGCACGCCCAGAGGGAGGAGACCACGAGGGAGACGGCCTCAACTTGAAGAGAAAGTTGACAAACTCACGGATGCCATCACCCAGCTGCTGCAACGCCTGTCGGATGAGACGCTGCGTCCCGCGGCACCAACCAGGCGAGTAAAGGAAGAGCAGAGCCCGAATCGGAAGCCGCCACCCGAACATCAGCAGCAGTCGATAGCGTGATTCTAATAGGACCACGTTGTTATTATCATAAATTTAATGCGATCAAAACCGCGCACCTCCCATTTTGCATTTACGACTCGCGATATGCATCTACATATAACATACATTCTAGCTCAGTGTAATTCTAATACGACCATAGTGTTATTGTAATAATTTTAATCCGATCCTAATCCCCCAGTTCGCATATCCGACCCCCGGTTCGCATGTCCAACGGACATACATATTACATACATACGACCATAGTATGTATGTATGTAATATGCATACATATGTGCAGATTCTATTACGATCACATTGCGATTATAAAACTTCTAATGATATTCTAATATTGATTTTAAGCTTTTGTGACTGCAGGAATTAATACTCGTTGGTTCTTTCGGTAAAGTCACGTAGGTAGAAATGAAACAAGGTAAATCACGTTTCGGACGAAACACAAGCGCCCGTCTTCAGGTGAAAATCGCGATATCCGCGATGTCTGCTGCGAGCAGCACGATCTCTGCTGCAGACATCGTTTCGGGCGCTTGTGTTGCGTCCGAAACGTCGTTATTTATTTTGTTTTATTTCTACCTACGTGACTTTACCGAAAGAACCAAAGAGTATAGATATTCTAATACTGTCCCTCCGTTTACGGTCTTATAAATTATATAAAAAAAACTAGTTTATATTTGTTTAATGTTTAATGTTATCTTTAAAGCGTTACAGTTTACATGTTTTAGAGTACAAGTGATCTCCAGTATACTTCGGAATTAGGGAACGGAACGTTGCTAAACTATTTATAACGGGGACCTTTCAACTCTAGGAACACATGTTGATGGTGGAGACAGTCAAGACGTTGCCGGTTAAGGTCAGACTTGTGTTGCTGCAGTTGCTGCTGCTGCAGTTGCTGCTGCAGTTGCTGCTGCTGCAGTTCCTGTTGCAGTTGCTGCTGCAGTTGCTGCTGCAGATGCTCCTGCAGTTGCTCCTGCAGTTGCTGCTGCAGTTGCTGCTGTTGCAGTTGCTGCTGCTGCAGTTGCTGCTGCTGCAGTTGCTGCTGCTGTTGCTGCTGCTGCAGTTGCTGCTGGGGCAGTTGCTGCTGCTGCAGTTGCTGCTGCTGCAGTTGCTGCTGCTGCAGTTGCTGCTGCAGTTGCTTCTGCTGCTGCAGTTGCTGCTGCTGCTGCTGCTGCAGTTGCTGCTGCTGCAGTTGCTGCTGCTGCAGTTGCTGCTGCTGCAGTTGCTGCTGGGGCAGTTGCTGCTGCTGCAGTTGCTGCTGCTATTGCAGTTGCTACTATGTGGTAATGGAATTTAATAGCTATTTACAGTAAATACACACATTTAAAGAGTATACCAATCACACATTATAACATATTTAGAATACACATGATTTCAAAAACGTATTTAAACATTTCTATTCATTATTTTTTTAACTGAGAATATCGTTGTGGAGCGCAGTGGATCGTATCGTCTCAGCTGCTTTTCGGAATCCGTGTGATAACCCAGTCACATCGCCTAACTACAGTGACAGCACCTTACCCAAGCTACATCTCCCCAACAAGGCATCCTTACCGATGCTGTGTATTGTGTTTATGGGATAACAGAGGTGTGTATTTTCCCATACGCCTTGCCCAAAACGACTGATTGTCCGCTTAACAGCCTAGCCTGTAAACAACCATTGGTGATAGTGTTGTTTGAGAGCAGCTATTAAAGTCGCTGCAGCCAACGAGGTGGTGGCTGGCCAAACCATGCCTCGCTGTTGGTCTCCGGGGTGATGACGGATACAACCAGACCAAGCGGAGACCATGTACCAGATCGGATTTTGGTTACTGATGTTAGAGTGATTGTGTTGCAAGTGTGGTCACTACGCGTCTGTACGTGCTCACACACGAAGCTCGGCGATTTTTGGCAACGCCACGGGGCTGCATTCACTTTAAATCGAGGACAATGGAGGGCAGGTGGAACGTGTTTTTCCATTTATTCAAAATAAGCGCATAATTACACACTGAGATGCACTTACATTATCATGCATGAAGCACAATGGGCACATTACCCTTCGGTATGTTAATCTACATGCGGATTGTGACTTCCAAAATTAACAATCGAATGCAAATATCCTTAAAGACAAAGGATTGGATCCTAGGGGGGGAGTTATAAGGCGGCTCAGAAGCAGAGCTCAATGCCATTTCGAGAGGGAACTTGATGAGGTTGGACGCTCGACTCGTCGCTCTGCTGATCGCCCTTCAACCGCGAGACAACGCAGCCTGGCGAGCACAATTGCTGTGTCGACAGTTAGGCGACTTTGCGTCGGGAGAGTTCGTGGCGACATCTTCAGACGGGTTCCAGACATCGATATACCGTGAATCTCCAGGTAAGTGTCTATTTTCGCGGATAAACCCTTAAACGTGTTCGTCGTCAAATTAGCGGTATTTTTTTGCGTCTCGGTTAGACGCGAGTGTCGTTCTTGTTTTAGCAGTTAACAAAATCCCAAACTCAACGCTAAACATCATTGCGGCCGATAGCGTACATTTGACTCGATAACACCGCTGCTGTTACTACGCTCACATGGAGCAGAGACGCTCTCCACAGCCCCACGCACACGGAGTCAAGAAGCAATTCAATTGCTCTGTGTGTGGGAAGTCATTTTCACGGCCATCACATCTTAAGAGACACCAGAGAACACACACGGGCGAGAAGCCGTTCCTGTGCTCTGTGTGTGGGAAGACATTTTCAAAGTCATCAAATCTTCATAGTCATCAGAGAACACACACGGGCGAGAAGCCATTCCTGTGCCCTGTGTGTGGGAAGACATTTGCAGACTCATCAACTCTTCATAGTCATCAGAGAACACACACGGGCGAGAAGCCATTCCTGTGCCCTGTGTGTGGGAAGACATTTTCCAAGTCATCAAATCTTCATAGTCATCAGAGAACACACACGGGCGAGAAGCCATTCGTGTGCCCTGTGTGTGGGAAGACATTTGCAGACTCATCAACTCTTCATAGTCATCAGAGAACACACACGGGCGAGAAGCCATTCCTGTGCCCTGTGTGTGGGAAGACATTTGCAGACTCATCAACTCTTCATAGTCATCAGAGAACACACACGGGCGAGAAGCCATTCCTGTGCCCTGTGTGTGGGAAGACATTTGCAGACTCATCAACTCTTCATAGTCATCAGAGAACACACACGGGCGAGAAGCCATTCCTGTGCCCTGTGTGTGGGAAGACATTTGCAGACTCATCAACTCTTCATAGTCATCAGAGAACACACACGGGCGAGAAGCCATTCCTGTGCCCTGTGTGTGGGAAGACATTTTCCAAGTCATCAAATCTTCATAGTCATCAGAGAACACACACGGGCGAGAAGCCATTCGTGTGCCCTGTGTGTGGGAAGACATTTGCAGACTCATCAACTCTTCATAGTCATCAGAGAACACACACAGGCGAGAAGCCATTCCTGTGCCCTGTGTGTGGGAAGACATTTGCAGACTCATCAACTCTTCATAGTCATCAGAGAACACACACAGGCGAGAAGCCATTCCTGTGCCCTGTGTGTGGGAAGACATTTGCAGACTCATCAACTCTTCATAGTCATCAGAGAACGCACACGGGCGAGAAGCCATTCTTGTGCCCTGTGTGTGGGAAGGCATTTTCACAGTCGTCAAATCTTAGCACGCATCAGAAGGTTCACAATGATTGGAAACTGAAATCAAAAGCTGAAGTTCAAGGTGCTGCATTGAGTCCTGAAGAATTTTCCACCCTCGATCCCATGCAGTTGGATCCCGAGAGATGGCTGGATGTAATGGAGTGGCTCGACGATCAAACCGAGAGTCAGGGTTGACTGAACAAATATTACGTCAGGTAATATTTGTTAGTTTTACAGTTTTTGTGAGAGTTTAATGACGTGCACAATGGTGGTTTGTAATGTTATCGGATTACTTGCCGAAGTGGCGTGATGAGCAGTGGTTGTGATATGATTCAATTCCGGACAATATTGTAGTGTTTAAGTCTTCCTGTTGAGCTAAAGTTGGAATGCATCTTTAGTTAGATCTTTTCTCAACATTTTAAACGGGTTTTTTCAAGCATATAGCTTTTTTTGGTTGGTATTAATCGACTTTAGATAACCGATTTAAGGATGTACATTGATGACGCGTTCGTTGGATATATGGCCTTGACTTCAACATAGACGCACAGTGAACAAATGTGGTGAACTAATCAGGAAATCATGGGGAATGATACTTGAACGCTTTGGTATTCCTGGAACGGAAATGGTTTGCATTGTACTGGAAATGTGTGAACATAGGACATAATAAATATTCCCTTCGAGTTTTGACGTAAAAATGATTGCAGATGAATAAAAACGTATTTTTAACAAATGTTTGTCCGTTCTTTATTTTATAATGTTCCTAGCAAAAACATGTTAAGATAATTTCAGGTGGAGGATCTCCGTCACACAAGTGTGCCCTTAACCGGCAGCATCTTGGCTGTCTACCCGATTAACACGTGTTCCTTGAGGGGAAAGGTCCCCGTAGTTAATCGTTCATCAACGTACCAGTCCCTAATCCCGAAGTATGTCGGGGATAAACTGTACTTTATAACATGTAAACTGTAATACTATAAACGATAACACTAAACATTAAACGATTATAAACTAGTGTTTTAATTTAAAACCATATAAACGGAGGTAAGGTATTATAATATCATTAGAAGCATTAGAATCACAGTGTGGTCGTATACGAATCGCACTCTGCTCATATGTTTGTATAGTGTACGTGCAAGGATCGGAGAAAAATTATTACAATTACAACATGGTCATATGCAATCACGATGTTGCTGCAACAGCAGCAGCAACTGCAGCAGCAACTGCAGCAGCAACTGCAGCAGCAACTGCAGCAGCAACTGCAGCAGCAACTGCAGCAGCAACTGCAGCAGCAGCAACTGCAGCAGCAGCAACTGCAGCAGCAGCACCTTCAGAGATGCTGCATCCCGCGGCACCATCCAGGCGAAGAAAGGAAGAGCAGAGCCCGAATCGATTATACTCATTTTGATATTCTAAACAACCGAGCACCTCCCAGTTTGCATTTACGACTCCCAATGCGCATATACATATAACATACACTCTAGCTCAGTGTAATTCTAATACCACCATAGTGTTATTCTAATAATTTTCATTGATTCCTAATCCTGCACGCCCCAGTTAGCATACATATTACAGTTCACATGGCCGTACACTATTATACATATGTAGAGAAGTTCCCAGGACGCACTCGGAGACGAATGTGAGGTTTAAGGGCTGTCGCCGAGTGTTTATTAAAGTTATTGACATACACCAGGTGTACCAACTTCCCAGGGGTGAGGGGTGCCGGGCTCGGTCCCACTGGTGCCCCCGACACAGTCGGCTGCCCCGTGCTGCCTCCTCTGCGCCGGCCGTGGGCTCAGCCAACACGGCCGGCCGAGGAGCGCAGCCACCTCCAGCCCTGGCGCTGCGCTCTTTCCTATCCCGACTCCATTGCCCCTGGCTCCCCGTTCCACCTGACTCCGAGCCCCGACTTCTGCACAGACCCCATGTTGTTGCTGCTTAATATGCTTCAGTTCCAGTGGTGTTCCGTGATGGGATAACAAACTTTGATCAAATACTTTTATCAAACGAGTCATTACAATTGTAACGATTCATTATTGCACGGGCTAATATTTGGTTTGTGCGATTATTTTATACATACACTAGCTGTACTACCCGGCTTCGCCCGGGACTTGTATCCACCACGGCCGGCCGCCTTTGTCTCCCCAGTGGCGATGTTAATACGCCACACCAGTTACTCGTTTGAGGCTGAGTCGACCTAGGGGAGGTTCAAATAATCGTCACCGGTGGTGGCCGTGAGCGGGAATGGAACTCGGTTCGCCGGGTTTGTAGCGCAGCGTAGCGTTAACCACTACACCCACCGCTCCTCACACACCACACACGCACAGACACACACACAGACACACACACAGACACACGCAGACACACACAGACAGACACACACACAGACACACAGACAGCACGCTAACCACTACACTACCGCTCCCCACACACCACACACGCACACACACAGACACACACACAGACACACACACACAGACACACACACACAGACACAGAGAGCACGCTAAGCACTACACTACCGTTCCCCCTACACAACACACGCGCGCGCGTCCATAGGTACACATACACGCGCTTGCTGCAGACACACACGACTGTCAGGGTGCGTACGGCAGTAAACGACTGAAAAAAGAAAGCGGCAATGCTGCGCGAGGAACGCCTTAGACCTGCAACACATTTGTGTAATGCGAGCGTAAACACACAAACACATACAAACACATACACACACATACACACACAAAAACATAGACAATACACACACACATACATGCAGACACACATACATACACACATGCATACAGACACACAGACATACACATAAACACATACACACATACACATGACCCGGCTTCACCCGGGACTTGGATCCAGCACGCCTGGCCGCCTTTGTCTCCCCAGTGGCGATGTTAATACGCCACACCAGTTACTCGTTTTGAGGCTGAGTCCCTCCCTCGCCACTATCCCTCCCTCGCCACTCTGCCTCCCTCACCACTCTGTAGAGGACGTGAAATTTGTATGAATTTACCTCAGAGTGGCGTGGTGGGTGTCGAGGCCTAGCACCGTGCAGAGCCTCCCGCCTCGCCTGATTTTCCCACCCGGCGAACGCTGGGTACGGGTGGCGTTCCTTCCCCCCGCCCCTAGCGCTCGAACAATACTGTGAAATGGCTATTATTTAATTATTTACGGAGCCTATGAAAGTGGCGAAGGCGTGGCTAGCCGTTGGCAGGGGCAACCGCCGTCCAATGAAAGTGCAGCCCTTGGCGAAGGCGTCGCTAGCCGTTGCCAGGTCCAATGAAAGCGGCGAAGGCGTCGCTAGCCGTAGGCAGGGGCAACCGGCGTCCAATGAAAGTGCGTATGGTCCGAAATCCACACACACACACACAGACAGACAGACATGCACGATTTTATATCTTAAACAACTACGCTGCGTGCGTATCTGGACGTTAATTTATTTACGGACCCGCCCAAACAGCTCGCTCTGATTCGATGAAAATAATACAGCCGGCAAAAAGCCACAGCTCACTTTGATTCGATAAAAATAATTAATTAACACGCCCGGAAGAGAGCGACAGCATAGGTTTGGCAAGGTCTGCGCCGCAATGCTGCAGTGCACTGTGGGCGCAGACCCTGCGCTGTGTGAGTGTGGTGTGTATGCAAGTGTGCGAATGGTAGTTACGCTAATATTACGTTTATTTATGTAAAAAATGGGTGCTGCGTGCTGCGATTAGTGGAGTCCCCAAACAACTTTACCTTACGAGTCGGCAGGGGTCGCTATACAGTAAGTCTTAGCGGACTGAGCTGGCAGCTTCACCTGCCGGGACCACGGCCAGTTGCGTAGCGCACCCCACCAGTTTCGCCCATGGGTCAATACCCCCATGGGGCAACCCAGCTGACTGTTTGATGGGTACAATGGGTACTATCCGGCTTATTACCATTATTATGTATTGACGTTGATCACGTCTCCATGGACGGCTTGCTGTCTACTTCCGTTGTGTAATTCAGATGTTGTGCATGCTGCTGCTCGTAAGGGCATGTGTTGCATAATATGCAGCATGTGTCTGCGTATCATGTTTGCCACGGATGTAGTTGGCGTTACTGTACATTTATCATGTTTTGGAGTGCCAATCCCATGCATTTTGAAATGTAATAAACTGTCTAAAAAAGTTGCAGCCCGGCCCCCGCCGCTGTCACTCTCTGGCCGTTGCACAAGCCATATCCGAATTTGCGACATGCTAAAACAATGAGTACAGTGTGACACCACCCAGGTAACTCCCGGGATCAAAATGGGCATCGGAAAGTGATCGCTTTATTGAGATGATTATGGTACTACCACAGGGTATTGTGAACGGTTCAGGAGGAGAAGAGGTCTGGATTTCTAAGTCTCACAGTACCAGTAAGAAGCGCCGGGTGGGGGATGCCCTCCACTGGGGTACAAATTCTGTCATTATTAGTATACGATCATGCAATGTTTCTATCTGCAAGCTGTCATAACTGCAACGATCCCCGTTATTGTTCGATTGAGAAATGGAGTGACCCACACCTCTGATATCATATGTGAGGAACCCAAAAATCTGATGCATGCGTAAAACACCCACAATGGGAATACGTAAACGTAAAAACACCAACAAATTTTTTTTATAAGAAAAAAATAGGTGGCCCCATAACGGATTTGTCTGTGTGTGTACATACAGACGGAGGATGCAGGGGCTAACCTGTGTGCGATCGGAACGGTGCAATTTCTGACCAATGTCACTGTGGATGGCGCACACGCTGACGCACACCGGAGCTGTGTCTTTGCCATGCAAGGGCATGGTGGATGGTGAAGCGCATATGGATGGTGCGTTACGAATAAAATTAAACAAAACAAACCGCTGGAAGCAGCCATGCGAGCAGGCTACCTTGAGAGCGATCGCGAATGGGTTGCGTGTCTGGAAGAAGCCTCGCTCTTTCAGATGCCGTACCAGCTTCGTCAACTCTTCGCTACCATTCTGCTGTATTCCATGCCAGCAGATACCAAGGCTCTCTGGGATAAATT